TAGAATCTCAATATAAATGTGAACATTGTTACGAAATAAATAAACTTATGATATGGACGTACACAGTCACCGTAATTTTGTAAGTTGTTTATTTTGCCTCACAATTTTTACTTATATTTTTATTGTTCGAATACGGAATACCTAACAATAAATACCATTTACAACCATTTGAAGATCATAACCATCCCATAACCAAATACATCACCATCAACAACGTCCATATTCCCCTACACTTGTCTAAAATCAAAATCCTCAGAAATTCACCAAAATCAATTACATTTGGAAAATAAATCAAATTTAACCAAATCATTATGATCGATAAATGTACTGATTTTTGACAATTAAAATATGAGAAAATAGCAAAAGTGTTGATGTACTTTTCTACCACGATACGATAAATGATTTGGCAACAAGATTTCCCATCTATGCAAAAATACTACAACAAAAAATAATAATATTAATAATAACAATAATTAAACATGAAATGAGAAATGTCCATTCTTTACCACCCCCAACCCTCATCTAATGAAAAAAAAAAAAAAAAAAAATCAAAAAGGTCATCTTTCCCTCCATCTAACCAATTCTTGGGGCATCTTTCTTGGCCTTCCCATTGGGCTATTGACGCATTTAACCCTATGAGCGATGAGGCTTTCTTTGTGACACGAGATCTTGTGGGCCCCATGGGCCTGGCCTCACATCAACATCAAGATGCAAAATTACAGATGGATATACATTTTACAATGGTTGTTTCACAGATATTTTCCGGATGATTTCCATATTCGCCCTTCTAGAGAAATCACCATGACTGTGACATCATCATGGTATTTCCTACGGTCACCTTGTGGGATGTCTAACAACTCGTGCAAATCCATCCCTGTGAAAGTTGTGTGTTAACACAAAAGGGAAAAGAAATAGCAACGTACTTTCATTCATTTGTTTATTATACTATGGATTCTTACAAAGTAAAACACTGTATTTTAAAAAATCTTCATCTATACACAAAAATCAATCATTACTGTAATAAAACTGAAAGTGCAATGCTATATTTGGTACAAAAAACTCAAATTACCAATACCTTGATAAGAAAAGAATTGAAAGCAGGATGTTGTAATAGAAAGAAAAAAAAATTGTATGATGCTATATACTGCACCTATAAATGAAAGCAAGCGAAATGAATTACCGGCTTTTTTGGCAGCACGTAAGAGAAGCTCCTCGATGAGGTGTTGAGCAGGGTCACCATCGGGAAACTTTTCCATGAAAATTTGAACATGAGAAACGACTTCTTGATTGCTAAAATACTGATACAAGCCGTCTGATGAAAGAACTAAAAACTGATCTCGGGGACACAAATGATGGTGCCGAACTGATGGTTCACATGACACGTATGGTTCCGTACCGATGTACTCATTCCGGAACATCTCCAATAATGAATCGTTCCATTTTGGCTGATCCCATCCCATTTACATATTATTAACAGTCACTCATTAGATAGATGATAATAAATACTGTATAATCATAAATTGCAAGAAATAGCAATCTACTTTTCTTAATGTGTTTATTATTGCATCCTATTTTCATTTCTCTGTATTTCGTTCTTTGAAGAATGTATGCAGTTACAGCAATGTCATCCATATCATAAAGCAATTTTCAGTTTTTCAGTGCTAAAATTGGCTACATACTAGAATTCTATATTACTAGACGAGGGAAGATGAAGCAGGGAAACAGTAATGATCTGTTTTGGTTGGATGGAATCTGTAAGAATGGGGTGAATCTTCAAATGGAGTTCTTACATTATATGCAAATACAATGTATACTCTACATAATTTAGTTAAAAGTGATGAATTATTTCTTTAAGATATTAAACATATTAAAAATTCATTAAAACCCAGATAAGATTTTAACAAAAAATATAGTTTCTAATTATTTTTAGAAATTAAAATTGTAACCGAATTAAGATCGTGAAATTGTTTTAGTAAATCCTTGAGTCATCAAAATCTGCATAAATAAAATCGGGTTATCTTGCAGCTTTTCATTCCCATAATGCAATGAAAATAAACAACCCCAACTAAGGAATAAAAATTAATAGAATGGAAGGAATCGGATTCCTTCAGCAATGGTCGATTTCATTCCAAAAAAAAAAAAAAACGTTTCCCATTTTCGCATGAACCATTCCATTTATTCTCTGATTCCGTTGTACTTATTATTCGCATAACACATACTACCAACAAACATTGAATTAATATAATCAAATTCTACAAGTATTTATTAACCTCCTAAAATAATCAACATGCGAATGGTACATTTTTACTACTTCTCAAGTTTTAACAGCTTACAAGTATTTATTTATTAACCCTCTAAACATATGCAATATAAGCAAGATGTAATTTGACTGACAACAAATATGTAAATAAGAAAAAAAAAACATAAAGATTGAACAAAAAAAAATAAACTAACCTTTTTAAGGAATCCAGCCCCAAATGCACGGGTAACCTTAAGACGGCCTTTTACCCTACCATTGACAATACATTGGTTGTCATCTGGATGCTCGTTCTTGATTCTTGTCACTTCCTGCAATATTAACAAGATTTTGTTATATCATGGCCCATTTATCTAAGCTTATTCTTTTCTTGACTTTTAAAAAAAGAATCAAAAGCTGATGATGGTAAGAAAAGAATATATTAGGTCACTTTGTTTTACTTATGTACGATGACTAGTACGATAAGGAAATTCTAACTTATTTAATTGATTGTCTACAACATAAGATATTAAACAGTCAATACCTATTTTATACACCAGAAAGGACCATCAAACCACATTGCTCTAAATTATCAAAGATTTAGGAAAGATTCCATCAAAACACCTAAATTGGTTTAACTGATTGATATAGGCCTGAATGTCAAGACTGACAGCTGTACATTAATATCATAAGCTATCAGGTAAATCATCAGGATAGACTTGAAAAAGATGAACGAGAACCATCATAATGTAGCACATAATAGCTTATTGAAGCAGATATAACATCTCTACAGATTTCAAAGAGTTGCTGAGTTTAAAGGTCAAGAAAGAATAGTCAACTTACATCTTCTATGCTGGTGCTGTGATCAGTAGATAGTTGCAAAGCCATCAACTTCATATCATGAGCAGGAGCAGGAGCAAGAGCATCATGTAAACAATCTTTTGATTCAATAATACCCTCAACAACTGCCCCACTATCCCCTGATGAACCAACTTCTTGAGGCTCTTCATGTTGGGCAACAATCGCCCTACTATCTCCTAAATTCATCACGTATACATCCTCATCTCTCATTAATGCAACGAGTAAGCACGAACCCATAAGAGCAAGTTCTGGATATTGATCCATAACCTTATCAGTCATGTCAAGATATGCAAGCTCGGTTACTTCCAAAGCCCTTGACATTGCTTTCAAAACCAAATCATGATCTACTGGACCGATTTTCTTCATCCTACAACTTCGTCCAGTATTACTTCTCTCCTCTATTCGGTTTTCTGCTTCCTTGTGCTCTTTGGCATCCAGACCGAACCTCCAAGCAAACAATCTACCACTTTCTTTATGCCTATTGAACCCGTTTTTCAACTTTGATAGCAGTAGTGACCGCTTACTAACTCCTGAAGTGGTTTTGCTTATATTAAGTGCATCGTCCACAGAAAAGGCAAATCTTTCTGAGCCAGAAAGATCAAGACCATCTTCGGGTTCTTCCTGGGCAAGGTATTCCCATAATCTCTTCCTTCTTGACTCATTTTCCCTTCCTGATTGAAATGTTACCTTCTTCATGTTACCACCAGTGTCTGTGTCTGTGTCTGTTTCTGTTTCGGTTGTAATAATCTTAGGTGCTTCTTCCTCATGTTGCATTTGTTGACAAGATTGAGCTTCCTCAGAGTCCCAAAACAAACCCTCGAGCTCTTTATACGTAGCTTTATACAAATTTCCCATCAAGAATTCAGGAGCATCAGGACCATTGAATCCATCATAAATCCCAACAAACAGCCAGCCATGCTCTTCCGACACGACCACATGTACTCGATCTTCCCCAGCTTTCCCGAGAGCCCACTGAACATCACTCTCGGTTTTCATATCTAACTCATCTCGCCCACGCCCGGATGCATTTGCATTTTCCTTCCGACTGCTTACAAAGTTCCGTACGGGAACCACCCAAGGTGGAGGGAAGTTCCGATGAAACGCCTTCCGCATTCCAGGAATCCCCTTCTTTCTCTTCTTCTTAACATAAATGCCACCATTCAGAGGCGCAGAGAAAGGGACCCTATTGCTGTTACCTGAATCTGAGCCGATGTTACAATCCAAGGGACCGGATAGGGCCCCACGCTCGATCGGACCAGACATAAAGAAAGCTCTCTCCATCGGACCTGAAGATGCCGTCCCAGCATCACCTCGCGGAACTGGCTGAAGCGGAAGTGCACTAAACGACGATGTACTTTCAAAGCCATTGACTATACTGGACTTAATCCCACCACCAACAGAGTCAGTGGCATCGTCGTAAATATTCTCCAACTGAAGGACAGTCCGGGGAGTGGATGTGTTAGCACTCACCGAGGCACCAGAAATAGCTTTGAATCCGGTCTCCGGCACTCCGCCCGGTTGCCGTGACCTGGCCGACGACGATTCGTGGGATGGCGAAAATCGCAGAGATTGCGAGGGAGAAATGAAGCGATCGGAGTGAGTAGGAGAGAGGAAGCGAGCTGAAGAACGGACGTAACAGAAGGAGTGACCTAGGGTTTCGTCTAATGGCTCGGTGGGCGTAAAAATCAGCTCCGGCTGTTCACGCCGCCGCTTCGCCGCTGCTGTCGGATTGAAGCAGGGTAGATGTTGCGAGAATCCACTTCCCATCACTTTTGATTCACGCCAGTCTTGCTGGTTTGCAGCAGATTTGTTCCCACACAAGAAAGTGTGTGGAAGTATAGAGAGAGAAAATGGTGGTTTTAGAGAGAGAAAGTGCTGGTGTATTTTATTCTGTTTTGTGTGTTTTTTGTAATGTTTTTGCGGGCTGATGAAAATGGGAGAGAAAGAAGGGGGGAAGACTTTTGTGTGGAAAGAGAAAGAAAATTATGTGTTTGATTTTTCTATTATTTTTTATTTTTTTTTCAGAAAAGTGTGAGAGAGATTGATATTCGAATGCATTTTCAAATTTTAGTATTACTCTCTTTTAACAAATTTATCCAAAAAAAAAAGTGAATTTTTTTTACTATTCCTTTATTTTAACAAATATATCTAAAGAAAAAAAGTTTATATATATATATATATATATATATATATATATATATATATATATATATATATATATAGGGTTAAGTTA